TGATATACATTCTCTTCTTGATCATGAACGCTCTCAACGAAAACAGTTGGATGGGACTTGTTTGTATGACATGTAAAAATGCCACCATCATACACATACAAAGTCTCCTTCGCCGGTTTCCCAAAATTGTGTTGATACCCATTTTCACACTTACTCACCAAGAGAGACTTCAAGAGTTGCTACTTAAGGTGTCTCTCCCAAGAACACAACACAATGACCCCACCATGCATTGCTCACAAACTTCTAATCATGAATTTCTGGTAGTCTGTTAATTAACCTCTAAAACTACAGCACATTTTGTGGGCACAAGGCTGCCATGTCTTGCATGATTATTGAAGTACCTATGAGATTGAGGCAGGACCAGTGTACAAGTGTCATTACCTTCTTATCTTCACTTGAAACATAGTGGAGTTCAATTCTAGTTTTATTTATTTATTTTGCTGGGCATCTCTCAAAGGGATCCCCTTATACTTAACAATTTAATAAAACTGCTGGAGATATAAAAATACCAAAACATCTTTTTCTCTTTATTCTCAGTGGTAATACCTGAGAACAAACACAAGTATTTCTCTTGGCACCTCTCTGGACAAAAACACCTTGCATTCTGAAAACAGGTTTTTTAGTTTTTCTGTTTCTTGGAGCTCTTTCTTAATGGCCTCCTGTGCTTTGGCATCCTCACTCTGTCAAAAAAAAAAAAAAGAAAACAAAAAATGGATTAGATTATCCCTTTACACCCTGACATCAATATCCATATTCTCCATAATCTTCCCTATACATTTCTTTCAGTGCTGACAAGGAGCATTTGTTTGACAACCAGGAGCTTCTAGGGTTGATGATCATTTCTTTTATTCTCACAAGCTCAATGAATGATTCATCAGTATTAGTGCAAGGAGAATTTAGATGCTGGTCACCCTTTGGGTATAAAGGGATATTGGGATGGTTTCTGAGCCTCCCTTGCAAACTTCTGTATACATTACCAAAATGTTAATGAACCTTAAAGAATACATACAATCCACAAAACAGTTTGTACTAAACACCCAACTTACATCAGGATCAACCGGAAATTCATCTACTTCCAAGTCTTCATCCTGAGCTAAAAACAAAATTTAAAAAAATACATATAGCGCACCATTAACATTTCATGTACACCACAAATCCCATAGGGAAGGTATGGGTCAAAAATAAGTTGTTTGGGTGGGCTGTGCTACCATGGCCTGAGACAGTTCTCACCCTAACATCACTATGCATATTCTCTATCCTGTTCTTTATAAATTTCCTATAGTGCTGACAAGGAGAATTTGTCCTACAATCAAAGAGATTCTTAGGCAGGTTATCATTTCCCTTATTCCCATGACCTTAATGCTTGATTCAGGGGTAAATGTACGGGGAGATGTTGGACACTGCTCACTCAAAGAAATGACAAGTGCAGTTTACATTGACATGCCTACCTGACACTGACAAGTTTTGATTCAAAGTAGCCAGCACCTTACAAGAAAGGACAAGACAAACATACCTATAATTAATTCTTTAGCAAGACCACAGTTTGCATTCCTCATTTCACAAAGACAAGGGAATGACCATGAGAGTTCAAATTAGTCACAATTGGTTGGTTAATAATGTGCTGGGCCCAGTTGTATAAAGTACAGATAACGCTACCCAACAGAGACATGGCTATTCAGTGGATAAGAGATAGCAATATCCAGATTTATACAGTGGATATCATTATCCAACCTTCAAACAACTGTGGTCAGGACTCTAAAGGGGGTCTCTGCAGGAGAGAAGTAAAACTCCTTGTTACTTCATGCTGGTGAACATGGGATTAACTTTAGAGGCAAAAGTTACTCTACTCATGTACCCACTGACTTCAGCCACTGCTCATCCCATTTTAATTTCTTAATGAGTCATTCCTCCAAATCAAGCCATTTTTATTTTCTGAGATTGTTGCTATGCACCACCTGCCTGTGAAAGTCTGTCAGATGAAAAAGCAGTGATTGCTGGCTGAATTTTTGCCCAGTGATTACTTGGCTAAATACCACCAGCCTAAATTCTTAGCCACAGTCCGAATAAATTAAAACATAGAATTGTAGCGACTGCTTGACTGCCCCAGATTAGGGGTTGGATCAATAATTATGAGGGAACATGAAAAATATCCAACACTTTTTGAGTCCTCAAGAAACTGACTAATAGATATATGTCCAGTGGAGAGATATCTTACCTCATCTTCCAGTTCTGAATCCTCACAATAGTCTGTGTTACTTGTATTACTGTACTCATTAGCAAGCTGCAAATCCAGAGGGGGGAATATAAAGAATTATTACACGACTCGGGCAGTCAGAGGGCCAATAACTAAAATCAACCAATCAAAATGCTCTATTGCCGGTCCAATATTCTCTAAGTATTGGACCGGGCACTGTCCCGAATGGTCCTGAATGATACCGCACTTGTGTCCCTTTGAACTTCAGTCGTATAATAAATCTCTTATTAACCAAGCTTGCTCGGGACCGTACTGGAAGAATATCGGCCCTCGGTCTTTTTTGTACGGACCTCGCTGCGCTCGGTCCGTACTGTCAAGACCTCGGGCCGATATTCTCCCAGTACGGCCCTCGCGCTTGGTTAATAAGATATATGTATTGTATT